TTTAATTCAGTCAAAACTTATAGAAAACTCAAGAGAACATAGAGCTTTGAAGTTTATCGATCCATGTAATGGATTGACTTATTATTGTATTCAAATTGCAACATTTTAATCCCGTTTATGTTTTGAGTGGTGAGCTGCTGGGGGTTACTTGGTCAGTTAGGGAAGGACCATTAGAAAAGTGATGGGGGGTGTGGTGGGGGTTTTCTGGCCCGCAAGAACTTTTTTCTGGCCGATTGCCTGTGCAATAACGACCCACAAGAGTCATCGCTCGGCTATATTACAAAGATTTGCTCTTCTTCAAACGTAATAAGGTAATATAATATTAAAGTAAATCGTTTTCGTACCATTGAAGAAAAGTCGCCAAACCTCCAGCAATGCTCTTTTTCTCTCGGTCATCTTTCTGATAAAACTTACGATCAAAACAATGAAAAGCCTCGCCGAGAGGGTCAAAAGCGTTTTCTTTGATCCCTGGTTTACTTAAAATTCCTTAACAAGGCTTGCACTTCTAATTGTCAGAATTTCTCCTTCGTGAGTGCATGGGTGCATGATCTCACGGACATGCGCAGTGCGTTATTCAGCCCTGTCAGTTACCCGTACAAAACGGCATCGTAGTCATGCAAAGCAACGCACATTACGCACATTTAGGGCCCGAGAAGCATTTTTCAAGTCGGTTTAGTAGCAAACGGGATTCCCGTTTCTGTCGACATTGGGACTGGATTTTAAGGTTAACTAGCGTAATGTGTCGGGCGAGAAAGCGACTAACACTTCAGGCTAAATTATGGGTTAGAATTTTGCTTTGACTCTTTCTTGTTACATGCAATACCTGAATGATAAATTCTCTCTGACATCAAATGTCAGACGAGCTATGCCATAGGGATTTACACGTTTTTTTCCGTCAAAAGTGGCTCAAAATAAAATTGCCGCCTACCTTCTCCACATAAATGTACACTAAATGTTATATCTAAGAGGAAAGTATAAATGGAATTTTAGCAGAAAAATAGCCAAAGGACGTTTCTGTATGAGGCAGCAGAATTCCTGTCAAGTTTAAAATAATCGTTTGTTCATCAGAGTAAACTTCAAGTTAAATGAGTCACCAGTGCGAACAATCCAATAAAAGCGCAGTTTCTGATTATAAGCTCTTACTAATAGTCTCTAGCCAACCCTACCCTACCCTACCTTATACTACTCCCAACCCTACCCTACCCTTATACTACTCCCAACCCTACCCTACCTTATACTACTCCCAACCCTACTAAGCACGCACCATATCTAGTTCAATCACACACATAATATAGGGAACGCCTTTGAAGGGTTTTTTTATTAATTATTTTTGCTGAAAACGTTTTATCCCAGGCAAGATCAGGCGGAAAGGCATCAATCTCAGCTCTCTATGTAAGTTTAGAACCCTTTTTATAATATCCACATTGACATTGGGGACGAAATCGTAATGTATATATTTTGGCACATCCATTTACTAAGACGCAAATCTTTTTGAACGCCTCCCTATTATTAGACTATGAGTAGTCCCCATTTTTCCTCAGGTATAGTAGAGCGAGCGAAACGCAACCGCGCGTGAAACTCACTCCACGCTCTCTACCGCTGCGTCTCGCCTTTCCTCGCGTGGTGAGATTTTCACGTGCGCTCGCGTTTCGTTCGCTCTAGTCTCTCTGAGGAAAAATGGGGACTTTTCTTAGTCTACCCTATTATTGACTCTGGACATAAAAGAGGTCCCTCTCAAAACTTAAAAGAAATTAACACACACCCTAGTGGTTTAATGGATCTTTTACGGTATAGTTCAATTTAGGGATTGGAACGTCGTCCCCTTATTCATTGTCAAAACTTCCTTTGTGCCCCTTTGAGATTAATTAACTAGGAACCTCAAACGGGCATAGAGACGGGGAACGTATTGATTTTCAAGGAATATATGTCAAATATTTCACGTGAAAAAAAATATTCTGGAACTGAGGGAGGTTGTCCATTTTAATCATGCAAAGATTGTGTTGAGGGCTTGTAAAGCTCGCTAGGCTTTGAAACTAGAGGACCAAGACTCTGTTCTTTCTCTTTAAGATAGCAGTTTAGTCTTCAAGAACTACTTACAACAACTCTACAATTTCTACTAGCTTACACAGCGAATTAAATAACCAAATTGTAGACTTAGTTTGGGTTAGCTGACCGGAAGAGTTTCTATTGAATATCTTATTGCCTATATTGCAACAGGTTTGCTATAGTTAGATAAGCCTACACAGCCGCAACCGACAAGCATCAAAGAACCAGTTAAATGCTAACAGTAAAACTGCCCAGAAGGACTAAATATACAAAACAGGAACTCGATTGTGGGTAAAACTCAAGGTCAGCTGTACTCCCCAAACAAGCCTACTTCAAAGAAACAAAACTAAGCTTAACAAACACTTCAAATGGATAATACTAGACAAAAACTCAGGAACTAACCATGTGGGGAAATACACTGAATCTCTGAGTCTCCAAGTCTATAGAGGTCTATAAACTGTTTATCACGAAGCTAGCAAAATCTTAAAAATAGCAAAACTGAAAAACAAAAACTAAAGGCAACTACCTCATAACAATTGCAACTGGTTTGTGCGCTTTCATATTTGCTGGAGGCTGAACAATTTATAACAGGTAGACAAAGATACAGCCAAACCTCTATTAACCGGACACCAGCGCATTTCCAAAGGTTCTGACGTTTAATCGGTGAAGTCGCAGTAACGGAATGAGACAATCTGAAAACAACGATTTGCTTTTTAGACAAACTATCCCAATTCATTTCTCCATTTTATAGCCGACGCTTCGCTAAAAATATATAAAAATGCTAGAAATCCGCTTTCTTTTGATATAAACGTAGATCCGTGATTTAAACGCCGGAAGCAGCGGGAGAAAACCCCCTGGTATCCATGGCTTGCTTTAACAGTAACGTCTTACTTCATGTATGAGTATTTTATGCAGACCACCACTGCTTGGCACTAAGAAGGTTAGGAGGGTAATTACTCAATTTCCTGGTGGATTCCGTCTTAATTTCTATAGGTACAATTTAGGTGAGGTGTAAAACGTATCCTCTGTACATATGTATAATTAAAGGTCATGTAGACTTAAATCAAAACCAATCTAGACACTAATAAACTTAAACCAATCTGCCAAAAGAATTAAAAACTACAACTGTGTACATAATATAAAAGTAAAGAGCTATATTAAATTGCTAGTCTGAAGTGCCTCTGTCCCATATGGTATCGATGAAAATAGCCGAAATTGACTACTGATTCCCGATATTTTTCAGGTGACTATAAAACAAGTTTCAAGGGCACATGACTGGTCGCAAAATAAGTTACGAAACGTACACTGTCATTTTCAGACTACGCAAAATATTAACAGCAGATAATTTTTTCTTCTGGATACAGTGTTTCTATTCTTGCGAGGAACGATCCACCTCGTAATCGTGACAAAATTAGAAACTGTCTTCACCCTCAGATAGTTAGGAACTGCTTCACTGCATTCTTCATCATACCTATACAACAACAACAACCGCAACAGGAAAAGCAACGTTAGCAAGCTAACAAAAGAAAAGGATAGTGACTTCATCTGGCGAGGCATAACATTTTGACAACTGACTTTTAAGAGTGTGCTCGATTGATCGTACCCCGGAATAAGAATACGCAAAAGTTTTGATGCAAACCTCTTCTATACCGTAATTTTTGAACCATTTAAGTTTATATAGATCAAAATACTTTATTTCATGCAGTTTTGTAGAATGAAAGACAGAACAAGTGATTTCTGCCGAGGTTATTCCATTAATTTATTTTTAATTAAGACGCGGAATACGGTGAATCGAACACGCCCTAAATTTATAAGAGCAAAGGGTCACATTAAAACTCGTAACTTCAACCAATGATTAGACTTATTGTAGATTCAAAGAAACTTGCATACCATAAATTCTTTATTAAGCCTTTCTTTCTAATAGGCTCCCCTTTTAAGAGGAAAATTATTTAACCTCCTCCTCTCTTTCAAGTCTCCTCTCCCTATTCTTATGCAATAGACGTATGATAGATGCGTTAATTTATCACGACTCTAACACTTCATGTGGACTGATTATCGGGTATGGTTTATTCACGAGCTGCAAGTTTCGATTTGATTTTGATCCTCGGCTGATCATGACCTCCGACTTCATGTCCCTGAGATTTTTCACTTTAGGTTCTAGTTCTTTATGGGGAAATGATATCACAATCTTCGCTTCATTAAATAAGCCCCTCCTCCCTCTCAAACGTTCTTGAAATGAGTAAACCCCCCGGGAGGCTTAATAAAGGATTTCCCATATCTGGAGACTTTCCTAAGCGACCACCTTCCGTAAAATAAGCGACCGGAAATTTGATCTTCGCATTTTGGGTCGTCGCTTACGTCAGGTTCGACTGTAAGTTACAGTGGAACGAACTCAGACGGGGCACACTTCGAAATGTGAAAAAATCATGCGACTTGAAATAAATTTTATAGTGTTTAACTGCCAAAAGAACTACCAAAGTCAGACTCCATTGTTGTTGAACTTGACCTGTGATTGGCAGATTGACGCCACGTGGCACCGGTTGAGTTCGTTGCTCAATAAAAGGTCATAAATAACTATAATTCCTTGTTAAAATGATGTTTCCTAAACCACGCAATATTATCCAAGGTTTAAATAATTATATCCTAAAATACCTTACTATTTATTGGATGCCCTTAAACTCGAGCGTTACGTCGTCACCAATGAGAACAAACGGCGCCCAGTACTTCACTGCGTTAAAGCGGTCAGATTCTCTCATGGATTTCATGGCTTTATTCAGAGACTCACTGGCACTTCGTCCATGGACTAGTTGTTGGTAGAAAACTTTCATGAACTCCATAGTAGCTTCGTCGTCGATCGCCCACAACGACACCAGAACAGAGCGAGCACCAGCACCTAAAAATGCCCGTGCAATACCGACCACACCCTCAGATTTGACTTCTCCCCGGGCACTATGTCAACAACTGAGTACAACAAGTCTTGCCCTAATCTGCGCCTTTAAAACATCTTTCATAGTTAAGAGATAGTCCTCCCTGGCTGGATTCACGGATGAACGTGTTGTGTTTGGGGCCAAGGCGATTTCTCCTGTTTCCATTTTACCGTGAGCAGCAATGTGCACCAGAGCAACCGAGGAGATACGTGTTAACACTTTATCTTTTGTTGCATGCTTTCCAACGAGAGGTTCAGTTTGAAGTATTTCCCCAATCATCTTCACTTCCTTTTCCGCCCACGCTAACTGCTCTAGCCTCATTCCTTCATAAATTACCTCCTGTACCCACGGATCGCCGACGAGAAGAGCGCCAGTGTTGCTGTGCCAATCTGCTGGACAATTTTGGATTAATCGCAGACTAGAAAGTGAGGGAAGAAGGCGAATTCTAAAAGTTTCGCAGAGGTACTTAGATTTCAAGTCAACGAAAGCAGCATAGGGGGCCAAACAAAGAGGTCCTTGTGGAACAACCACAACCTCATCGCCTTGGAGTAACTCTCTTATAGGGTCCATAACAACTTTGTAAAATGTTTGTAATGACTTTGGCTCAAAAGATGAGGAATGAGACCTTGGCTGACAGGATCTTTTTTCTGCTAACTTGTTATCGCTTGGGTTCCTTAATGAACGATCTTCACAGTTGACATCAGTTCTCACACCCATTTTTTCAAGTGCAGTCTCCAGTAGCGACTGTAAATAGGTTTTGACGGAGATATCGATCTGAGTTTTTCTAGTTTTGATTTCTTTTCCTTTCTCGTTTACCCAGAGAACTATTCCTTCCTCGTTAATACCTATAAAAGCTGTATTTGATGGTAGGCAATTAAGAATGTCAGGTTTTGTTCCTGAGAATGTTCCTATTTCTCGAAACAACCCTTTAAAGCCATAATTAAACTCCAGAAGATCATTTAAAGCTTGGGCGCGTCCATGATCAGCAGTTAAAAGTGCCTCAACGACTTTACCTTGCTTAAACTGTAGCCCCCAGAGCCTCAAATTAACATTATCATACGTACTCCGAAGACTAATCTTCCATTCGTCATTAGATATGAGATTTCCCCTGATATAGTCGTAGGCAATGACACTGTTTTTATAACAGTAAATGGCTGTCTGGAAATCTCCAAGACTGTCATAGGTGTTGCCAAGATTCCTGTACGCTTTTCCTTCCCCTGCCCTGTCTCCCACTTCTTTGGAAATTTTGAGATGTCGTTCATGGTACTCTATGGCTTTCTGGAAATCTCCAAGACTGCGATAGGCGTTGCCAAGATTACAGTACGCTTTTCCTTCTCCTGCCCTGTCTTCCACTTCTTTGGAAATTTTGAGGTCTCGTTCATGGTACTCTATGGCTTTCTGGAAATCTCCAAGACTTTCATAGGCGTTGCCAAGATTACCGCACGCTTTTCCTTCTCCTGCCCTGTCTCCCGCTTCTCTGAAAAATTTGAGGCATATTTCAGTGTACTTTATGGCTTTCTGAAAATCTCCAAGACTGTGATAGGCGTTGCCAAGGTTACAGTACGCTCTTCCTTCTCCTGCCCTGTCTCCCACTTCTTTGGAAATTTTGAGGCCTCGTTCGTGGCACTCTATGGCTTTCTGGAAATCTCCAAGACTGTCATAGGCGTTGCCAAGATTACAGTACGCTTTTCCTTCCCCTGCCCTGTCTCCCACTTCTTTGGAAATTTTGAGATGTCGTCCATGGTATTCTATAGCTTTCTGGAAACCTCCAAGACTGCGATAGGCGTTGCCAAGATTACAGTACGCTTTTCCTTCTCCTGCCCTGTCTCTCACTTCTTTGGAAATTTTGAGATTTCGTTCATGGTACTCTATGGCTTTCTGGAAATCTCCAAGACTGTCATAGGCGTTGCCAAGATTACCGTACGCTCTTCCTTCTCCTGCCCTGTCTCCCACTTCTTTGGAAATTTTGAGGTGTCGTTCATGGTACTCTATGGCTTTCTGGAAATCTCCAAGACTTTTAAAAGCAATGCCAAGATTACAGTAAGCTTTTCCTTCTCCTGCCCTGTCTCCCACTTCTTTGGAAATTTTGAGGCCTCGTCCATGGTACTCTATGGCTTTCTGGAAATCTCCAAGACTGTCATAGGCGTTGCCAAGATTACAGTACGCTTTTCCTTCTCCTGCCCTGTGTCCCACTTCTTTGGAAATTTTGAGGTGTCGTTCATGGTACTCTATAGCTTTCTGGAAACCTCCAAGACTGTGATGGGCGTTGCCAAGATTACAGTACGCTTTTCCTTCTCCTGCCCTGTCTCCCACTTCTTTGGAAATTTTGAGATGTCGTTCATGGTACTCTGTGGCTTTCTGGAAATCTCCAAGACTGCGATAGGCGTTGCCAAGATTACAGTACGCTCTTCCTTCTCCTGCCCTGTCTCCCACTTCTTTGGAAATTTTGAAGTCTCGTTCATGGTACTCTATGGCTTTCTGGAAATCTCCAAGACTGTCATAGGCGTTGCCAACATTACAGTACGCTTTTCCTTCTCCTGCCCTGTCTCCCACTTCTTTGGAAATTTTGAGATGTCGTTCATGGTACTCTATGGCTTTCTGGAAATCTCCAAGATTTTTAAAAGCAATGCCAAGATTACAGTACGCTCTTCCTTCCCCTCCAAGATTTTTGGAAAAAATGGTACTCAATGCCAAGACTGTTACAAGAGTACGCTTTTCCTTCTCCTGCCCTGTCTCCCACTTCTTTGGAAATTTTGAGGTCTCGTTCATGGTACTCTATGGCTTTCTGGAAATCTCCAAGACTGTCATAGGCGTTGCCAAGATTACAGTACGCTTTTCCTTCTCCTACCCTGTCTCCCACTTCCTTGGAAATTTTGAGGTCTCGTTCATGGTACTCTATGGCTTTCTGGAAATCTCCAAGACTGTCATAGGCATTGCCAAGATTACAGCACGCTTTTCCTTCTCCTGCCCTGTCTCCCACTTCTTTGGAAAGTTCGAGATGTCGTTCATGGTACTCTATGGCTTTCTGGAAATCTCCAAGACAGTCATAGGCGTCGGCAAGATTACAGTACGCTTTTCCTTCTCCTGCCCTGTCTCCCACTTCTTTGGAAATTTTGAGGTCTCGTTCATGGTACTCTATGGCTTTGTGGAAATCTCCAAGACTGTCATAGGCTTTGCCAAGATTACAGTTCGCTTTTCCTTCTCCTGCCCTGTCTCCCACTTCTTTGGAAATTTTGAGATGTCGTTCATGGTACTCTATGGCTTTCTGGAAATCTCCAAGACAGTCATAGGCGTCGCCAAGATTACAGTAGGCTTGTCCTTCTCCTGCCCTGTCTCCCACTTCTTTGGAAATTTTGAAGTGTCGTTTATGGTACTCTATGGCTTTCTGGAAATCTCCAAGACTGTCATAGGCGTTGCCAAGATTACAGTACGCTTTTCCTTCTCCTGCCCTGTCTCCCACTTCTTTGGAAATTTTGAGATGTCGTTCATGGTACTCTATGGCTTTCTGGAAATCTCCAAGACAGTCATAGGCGTCGCCAAGATCACAGTACGCTTCTCCTTCTCCTGCCCTGTCTCCCACTTCTTTGGAAATTTTGAGGTGTCGTTCATGGTATTCTATGGCTTTTTGGAAATCTCCAAGACTGTCATAGGCGTTGCCAAGATTACAGCACGCTTTTCCTTCTCCTGCCCTGTCTCCCACTTCTTTGGAAATTTTGAGATGTCGTTCATGGCACTCCATGGCTTTCTGGAAATCTCCAAGACAGTAAAAGGCGGTGCCAAGATTACAGTACGCTTTTCCTTCTCCTGCCCTGTCTATCACTTCCTTGGAAATTTTGAGGTCTCGTTCATGGTACTCTATGAGTTTCTGGAAATCTCCAACACTGTCATAGGCGTTGCCAAGATTACAGTACGCTTTTCCTTCTCCTGCCCTGTCTCCCACTTCCTTGGAAATTTTGAGGTCTCGTTCATGGTACTCTATGGCTTTCTGGAAATCTCCACGAGTGCCATATTCGTTGCCAAGATTACAGTACGCTTTTCCTTCTCCTGCCCTGTCTCCCACTTCTTTGGAAATTTTGAGGTCTCGTTCATGGTACTCCATGGCTTTCTGGAAATCTCCAAGACTGCCATAGGCGTTGCCAAGATTACAGTACGCTTTTCCTTCTCCTGCCCTGTCTCCCACTTCTTTGGAAATTTTGAGGTCTCGTTCATGGTACTCTGTGGCTTTCTGGAAATCTGTAAAGTTAACATAGGTGTCGCCAATAGTACTATTCGCTTTTTCTTTCTCTGTCCTCTCCCCAACTTCATCGGCAATCTTTTTGGTATTTCCAAGATTACAGGTGACCTGTGTTTGTCCTTTCGCAGCCATTCCACTAACAAATTGCAGGTAAAATGTACGTAGTGCTTTTCCCGAAGATAGTTTTAATTGTCACATTTTTTGCTTACTTTGCTATTTCAGCTCTTCTGAAAAAAAAGTATAGATATGTTGTGGGTTTTTGTTTCGTTGATACCATTTCTCTATATGTAAGATAACGTTTGATAACGAAAATGAAAAGTAAAATTAAAACATTGAGTAAAAGCTTATCTATTAGCTCTTTTATTATTCGTTTTTGTCCATGATCACTGTCGCAATTGGTTTGCCACAACTAAATCGTGATCGTTCTACTTGTTTTTTATCGTTGTGTCATGTGACTTGATAAACTGGGGTTTTCTCCTAAAAAAGGTAAAAGACATTCTTTTTGGTGATCAGTGATCGAAATGAAAAAAGAAAACAGATTTACCATTGTTTAAACACGGTGTATATTATCTATCTAGTCGTTGTACATTCATCTGTCCTCCATGGAAAATACTAAAGGTTTTGGCAACAAACTACAAATCATCCTGGGAGACCCAGGGCAGATAGTGGGGGCGAGGGAAAGTCTAAACGGGCGGAAAATATGGCACGAAGAAAAGTAAAGAACGGCGAGAAGAGCCCCTGGGGACAATGTCTTACCAGACCAGTTCCAAACGGTTGCCGCCGTTCTGACTTCTGATTGCTGCCAGAAAACGTGCGCGCCCACTATCTGCTCCTGGGTCTCCGAGGATGACCACAAATCGGGCCAGTAGGAATATTCAGAAAAGTCAAATTTCCGAAAGTTAACTTATTTCTAAGGTTTAAAATCTCTTGCTAGCGGAATAGAAATTTACAGCAATTGAAAAGAAAAGATATTTCTATACCTCCAGTTATTTTAAGCTTGTGGAATTTCAGAAAACTATAATTATGGTTCATATAAAATAGGACAACCCCCTTGACTCCTTGCCTTGCTCGGTTTCAGCTTAAGAGCGATGGTCAGGAAAAATCGAGAACAATCTCAATTTAGTGACAGGAGTTAAAAAATGAATTTGTCCATAGATAGCTTTTAGGTAGATAAGAAACCTAATGTAGATTGTTCCCGCCAGAAGCCTTTTATTTGTGGTTTTCGATGTCGGAGTCTCAGACTGCCCTTAATTTTTGACCTGAAATTCGCTAAGAACAACTTTCGTCGTGTGCGCAAAGGAAGGCGCATGGAGAACAACTCGGTAAGTGTAAAAACCTGAGTAAGGAGTTTTCCTTTTTTACTTCTTGTTGTCATTAGCTAATATAGCTCTGTTACGTTGACGTGTTTGAATTTTTTTTGTGTCAGGTCACTTACGAAGATTGCAAGTTCTTTTCAAATACACCCGTCCGAGGATGAGCCGGTTTAGAAAGATTTCTGTCTACAGATTGCCCTTATAATTTAAGAGCCAACGTGGGAAAATATCGAGAATCTCAAATCAGTTCTAAAAATTAGAATTTTGGCTAATACCATTCAAACAACCCCTTAGGTGAACTATTTCAAGAAATAATATCAAGAATTCCTCAAGAGCTTTACATTTTAAGAAATTTCGAAAAGTTAAAAAATTCGATAAAAATACATTTATTTATTCGCGAAATTGCTGCAAATTTCAACAGTTTTCAAGAAAGCAGTACAAGAGCGCAAAAGCTCCTATTGACTTGACCTTGCCAAGCATTTACCGGTTGCCCAAAGCTTTAAGACTGCATAAAATGACTCGCAAAATAACTTTTGTAATATAGTTTTGGGCTTTTATTGTTTGCACCTTGATTGTGTGCTGTTTTGGCGGTCGAAATAACGCCCAACTTTAACCGTAAAAAGTCGATTCTGGTAAGCTCTGGTATGTCTCAAATTTAAATTATGATTATACTATATGAAAGAACTAGATTCTTTTAACTAGACCTGAAGTTTCAGCTCTGCGAATTTAAACGCTTGCGAAAAATAAAATTTTGAATATAGCCCCTCGGACCACCTTAAGCGACAAGAATGTGAAATGTAAACAAAGCAGAAACCGTGTAAACAAAGGAGAAAATTACACCAAAGTTATTTCTAGCCCACCAAAGCGCAAGGAAATGATGGAAATTTCGGTATCTAATTAGGTATTGCTATCTGAAGGCTAAAAACTAAGGCGAAATTCGAAAATCTGACAGTCGCCTACAGTGGCAAGGATTTATTCACGTCATCCAGTCATGTATAGTCAAGAACAACTCTGCGATAGCAATCATGCAGAATGTGTTTTGTTCAGTCAAAGCCTAGTACCTACACTTACGACAAAGGCATACTTTCTACAAGATCCTCGATTCCCTGTACGTTCGCAGTCTATGGAAGTTAAAATCATGCGCATTGATTCAGTGGCCCACAGGTTGGTTAGGGAGCTAATTGCAGATTGCCTTGAACCCACATTTAAAATTCACGTTCGCAGTTTTATAAATAAAGACCATGTTGTCAAAAATGCCACTAAATTACCAGCGCTCTTGTTTCACTTGGAGAAATTGGGGTTTTGTGCACGTAGCTTGTATGGAGGTAGCCTACGAGCAAGTTCTCCCTTTGGAGGAGCCGCGAGAAGCCACACGAGAGCAGCACACAAACGAAGACGCAAGTGTAAGGGGCGGGGAAAGAGAGGAAGAAGTTTCTTCCTTGCACAGTATAGATATTCCCAATTTCTTTAAGCACCGTGGTCCTAAAGGTGCAGCAAAAATTCATGACGGGTCAGCCAGGAGCTCGAGTGTCATCGATTCTAATTAATTGTGTGTGAGTTATTCTTCTGCCAATGGTATTTCGCTCCGTGTAAGTGAAGCAGAATGAAAATTTATAAGGGATCGTTAAAAGCCCTTCCTTTTCTCTACCCATAAGCAGGGGCACCCAACGTCAGTTTTTCGGAAAATATCTGTTCGGAAGACGATTTGAGATCTAGAATCTTCGGAACATTTGTTGTAAAATTTCTTGCTTGCCTGCCTCTCCTAGGATTTTCGAACATCTAAAAAATGGTATAATTGCCCATTTTTAACGGATATTTACCCTTAAAAGGTCACCTAGAATTTTCGGGAGCCTTTTTTCTGCCTGAAATTTTCGAAAAGGTAAGTTTGGATCCCTATAATTTTCGGATCACTAGACTTTCAGCTAGGAAATCCCAACAGACGAAAAATTTTTAGGGGATAAAAATATGCCTATATCTATTTAAATACAAAATACGTTTAACAATGCCATGTTTAAGTGGTTTTGAACTATATTCTCGTTGGGTACCCCTGCATAAGGGCTTTTGCTACTTCATTCTGCGTTCCCAGCTCGTGGATCCTTTCGGTAGCCATATAAATGGAGAGCTTGCTGGCAGGCTCAGGTATGGTTGCAAACACAAAAGTAACAGCGGTCAGCCAAGCAGCGAAGATCCGCACACAGTGTCAATGAACTCAAAATCTCTATAATTTACAAAAGTTGTTATCAAATCTTTTAGTGCCTTATGACATTAGCAGTAGAAAACTGAAGAAAACGATACTATTGGTTGCTGTCCATTGTTGTCGAGAACATCGTCTCTGTTGAAAAGTCCGTATTGAAAATAGCCAGCGTGGCAGGCGCTTGAAAGTATTTGGGCTCAGGAAAGAACAGGCGCGCGTGAGGGAGACACACTTGAGTGGATAGACACGTGTGTCTCCCTTACGCACCCCGTTCTTTCTTAAGATTTTCAAGCGCCTGCTACGCAGCCTACATTGAAAAACAATAAATAGTACCTTTCCACATTTGAAGGCAAATCCACCCAAGCACGTTTAGCGTCCTTTTTACATCATCTATGATCGGCATGATCTGCGTCGCTTTCAATTACAACACCGCTCGAAAATTTGCTAAGTTAAGCACCACCCTCTGGGTATTTACTAAATACCGTAAATCAGCCTTTTTACGCCCACTTCTAACACCTCTGTTCTTGAGAACGCCCCCTCAACGCTGTTAAAATTGTATTAGACCCCCCTCTAATAAACGCCCCCTGTCTAATAGAGAATTTCTAAGAGAATTCACTCCAAAATACTAGGAATTGGCAAAAAGGAGAAAATCATTCAATTCATTCATTTTCTTGCTGATTAACTGAGGGTTTGAGTGTTTTTATTTTCATCCTGTTAATATACTAAGGATGGAAACACAATAATCCTGAGGGAGGATTCTGACATCAACGGGCTGGGATTTGAGAAGAGCGATATGGATCTCCAGACGGCCTAGATGGAGTGGAAAAAATATTAAGAGTTTAAAAGTAAGTTTTGTTACAGTTATAACAATAAGCACTTCTCCCTTTTAAACGCCTCATATCTATTAAACTCCCCCGCTTGGACCCATAGAAGTCAAAAGACGTCCCGGGTCAGTGCGGGTGTTTATTGGGTCATTTACGGTTAATTGCGTTCGAGGTACGAGAACGCAACCCCTAATTTGTGTTAGGTGTTTTGTGCATCATTGGGTGTCCTGTGCAATTAATAAGGGAGGTTTTTTCGAGATTGCATTCGTCCTCGTCGTCGTCGACACACATTTGCCTCGCCTTGAGGCGCTTGCTTACGTTTTGCCTCACTTTGACGCGCTAGCTCACTGGGTGATTCGTGTGCCCTCGGCCTTCATCTTTCAAACGTTAGCTGAGGTCTGCTATTCTGTCTTCGTAAATCGTTCACCTTTAAAAGTGTGCTTAATTTTCGTAAAGCCTACGTATTTAAGAGTTTGCTGAAGGCCTACTATCTATCTGTGTGAATGAAACTTCCAAAACGTTCATTTTTCAAAAGTGTGCTGAAAGTTACACTATGAGTAAAATTTTACTTTGGATTGAGCCTTCATATTTTTCTTTGGAAGATGCGTGCCACTCCTGATGCATGCATCAAACCGGGTTGTTTAGCTCGGCTCAGGCATGTTAAGGCATGGGTCACCTCATAATTTCCATAATTTGGCGAAGTAGCATTTGAAACGGATTGTTTTGATCAGTCGTCATGAAACTTGGCAAGCAGTTTTAGCTCGGTGGCCTTAACAATACGTTACATATTCATTGAGTCAA